AGACAGACAGACAGACAGACAGACAGACAGACAGACAGACACAGAGAGAGAAACAGAGAGAGAGACAGATTGTTTCGCACTTCTGTAACGTTCGTCTGGCTTACCTATCTCACACTTCGACACTTGCTCCCTTACTCTGCGTTGGTTGTATATCCTTGCAAATGGATAGCCGCAGCGAAAAGTCTGGAGAGGACCTGCGAGTACTGAATTGGATGAAAGCGGGATTTGAGTACTCCGATTTGCTGTTGACGGTCAGTCCCGCGTATGCGACTGAGGTCTCCACAGAGCACGAGCGTGGCGCAGGTCTGCAAGACCTGATTTCAAGGAAGGGGATGCTTGGGATAATGAATGGTGCAGATGTGACGGAGTGGAGTCCGGTCAATGACAAGTTCCTGCCTCATAGATACGACGTCAACTCGGTGAGTGTTCTCTCTGGTCTCTTGATCCCGTTATTCCGAAGCTATATCGTCTGTTTAAACGACTTCCACGGTGGATGTAATAATTGATGCCAACCGATGGCCGTCTTTATACCTTGCGGCACCTACCCGTCTGCCTACCATGGCTTTTGTTTCAGTTACTTATCACTTCGTCGGGTGAACTTCGGTCGCAAATGGATGGACATCTTGGCCTTCTTTCGTAAGAAAACCCGTTTCAAATGGACTTTGATCTGAACCTGTATCGTTTACTCGACTCGCTTCTTCATCTTTGTGGCAGGTGTTTGACGTCAAGCCCTCTTTGAAGCAGCAGTTGCAGGCGGAGGCAGGCTTCGCAGTCCGTCCGGAAGTTCCTCTGTTTGGGTTCATGGGCCGGCTGGACGAGCAGAAGGGGTCGGACATCTTGGCTGCCGCCATCCTTAAGCTCGTGGAGGAGCGCAAAGGAGAGGCTCAGTTCATCATGCTGGTGAGTACATCGAAACTGTTTTTTCTCTGCATACGACTCTCACATCATATTTCAAACCACTTGGTAGATAAAGGAAACCGTAAACGTAACCGCCTTTCGGCGGAGTCCAGGTGCACGGCTTGCCGCGTACGTCCATGTGGAGGGTTATTTGTCACATTACCTGCAACAGAGTGGCAGTGTAGATTTCCCTCGCATTTCGCATTCTCTCCTGTTCTTCTTCTTCGATGAAATTTGAGTTCGGTGTTCTTCCCTTCTTCCTTCGCTTTAGATGTTGTGAAGCACTCTTCGTACTGACCACTAAGCTGATCGAGCAGAGTGGAAAGAATTTTCATGGTGCCCGGCAGGAAATGGAAACGACCCGTGCTGGCATTACTTTTTTGCATTAACTTGCGGTATTGTGGTCTGTGCCCTGACCTTCTTTGCCCTGTGTTTGACCAGGGAACCGGCAAGGCTCGGTATGAGAAACAGATGCAAGATCTGCAGAAAAGATTTCCCGGACAGGTGCGGGCGATGACGAGATTCAGTCCCCGACTGGCCCACATGATCGTTGCTGGGTGTGACTTTATGGTGCTGCCCAGCCGCTTTGAGCCTGCCGGACTCGTGCAGCTGCACGCTATGCTGTACGGCACGGTAGGTTGCTACCCCATGTCTCGTAGATATACAAAACATCCTTTTTGTTGCGCTGTGTTCTGTCCATTGTTTGCTTGGGCAGTTTATAGTGATCGCTCGCCAGAGTGCATTGCGCCCTGTACTACCTTCTTACCCCCAATACAACGTACGGTGGTAGCTGAATTTGAGGCGGCGGGGTGCCGGGAAGAAAGCGACCGACAGCATTAGGATCATACCGAGACTTCGTTTCCAAAGTTATTGATGTGGACTTGAAGCCAAGATGAAGATATTTTAAGGTAGATAATTTCGCGATGTTAGCAGTGGGGACGAAACGTTTTTTCTCTTAGTGGGGGAGGGAAGTGACGGAATGTTTTGTATGGTGTGCACTGTGCAGATTCCAGTTGTTGCATCCACAGGCGGTTTTCGGGACTCCGTGCGAGACGGTGTGACCGGCTTGCACATGGGGAAGTTCGGCGTCAAGGTCAGTAATGTTTCTCACTTGCTCGATTCCAGGGGCGCATGGTGCGAGCTTGAAATGGATGAAAAGAATTTGTTCTTGGTTTGAGATTATGGGAGGAGAGCACAAAGTGTGAGATAGTTACAGTGCAGCGACTGGGAAATTGGTCGTGTTCTCCTCGAGTCCTCGACAGCAGCAATATCTGTAATTACGTAGCCTTTAGGAAATTAGGAGGTTTAAATGTTCAAAGGAAGAATCAGTTAAGCGTGAGGAACATAGTGAGGGGTTGGTTCGTTTTTGGCCTCGGTGAACATCAAGACGCGATGGTGCGTCGCTGCTATTGGGAGGTGGATAAAGGATAAAAGCGAATTAAAACAAGGTGTCTGTTCGTCGGACTGCTATAACGCTATTGATTGGTTCACCAATTTAATTATCTGATGAAAGATGGACTGGGCTGTACTACTGGAGTGTATTCCATCTTCGCGAGGAATGGCCACATGTATTAGTGACTGCAGCTGTCCAACACCGTTGAGGTGATGATTCATGCCGCGTGGTTGCTTGTTGATTGACCGTTTGGCAGCCGGATGGAACAGCGGAGGATGTCGCCAAGGCGGTGGAGGGATTACAGCGGGCAATCCAGGTGTTCTCTACCGCTCGCTTCAGAGACATGGTCGTGGCGGCCATGTCACAGGACCTCTCCTGGAAGGTGGGTGAGTGAGGAAAAAGGAGGCCTCCATACCATAGAGCAATGTCTAGGCGCGCAGATGTAACGCACACACACTTGTATACTTGTTCTCATGTTTGCTCTCATGTTTGCTGGCTTGTAGTTGAACTCGGTGTGAGGGCCAATGGACAGGTCCTACAGGAGGGTGGTGTTGAACATGGTGATTCTCTCTCGACTATGCGTCCACGCGCTTGGAGTGTGGAGAGTCGTGATGGGATCCTGTTGTAGCGCAGTCGACTAGCATGACTTGTCACTGTAGACCTTCTAAGGAAATTTTGCCAAAAAGATAAGAAAGTTGAGAAAATAATGATAAAATAAAATTGAGTTACCGCATTTCAACGTTTTTATGATCTTGACGTTGGCTAACTTGGCTAGGATGAGAATGACCGACGATGACGACTCTCACACTGGGTCGACAGATATGAGTTTGTGTGCTCTCGAAGTCGGTGGGGTTGTGAGTGTTGAGTATAGAGTTTTGTAGTCCTCTAATGTTCTAAAAGTTGGTATCTGTGCTGGCTCGCAGGGTCCTGCCCGGGCTTGGGAACAAGCATTGCTGAATCTGTTCAAGGAGGCACGGAAGCAAGGAAGAGAGACGACTGAGGTGTTTCCCGGAGAGAAGGTGGAGAAACACCTCCCAGCGAGAGGTGCTGCCAAGGAGACTCTGCCTGCGACCATCAGTCTTTGACAGTGTAGTTGAGATTGTGCGGTGCATGGCCTTTGGATGCAGTTGAGGTGCTCCATGAGCGGTTACCATAGGGTAGGGAAGTCAGTGCAACACTACAACGCTAATGCTATCTGTCGGAAAGTGTTTACAGGTCATTGAATTTCAGGTTCGGATTTTTGGACGCTTTTGGCGGTCAATGGTCATTTAGGGACACACTCAGGCCAGTTTTGGATAGCAGACTCTAAGACGAATGTGCCTTCGACTAATTCAGGATTTTCTAGAATAGAGGACGATGCAGGGATCCCTTTCAGTAATTGAGTTGTTTCATCTTATTGTGGTGAGGCCTTTGTAAAGCGGAGTGTTCTTTACCGCTACGTGCAGTTGAATTGTCTCTTTTTTCCCTGTAACTGCTACCCAGGACTCCAAGGAGGCTATCAGGGATTTAGGGGTGAAAAGAGCAGCCTCCGACAGCAGAGTGCGAATGCAGTCTGTTGGTGGGGAGCTTGACCTGCTGGGAAAACGGTCTAGCGTCCCTTACAGAATTCAATTGCAGTGGAGAGAAAGGATTGGAGCATTTTTTGCCGTGGGGGTTTTCATGGGATTGACTGAAAGTGTTTTGGCGGTCCATCGATACTGGTTCTTCAGCCTGAACCTATGCCACCATAGGTGAGCCTATCGCACCATATATGAGGTGTGACGAGCTGAGACCAAGCAGAATGACATTGTCAGCAGCAGTAGCGATCTGTGGGAGGATGAAATATCACATAATAGCAGCTGGTATTGATTTGGGGATGTAGTGCCGCAATTTTGGTTGTAAGAAGATGCCGAAGGCGATTGCAGTACGGAGCAATGATAAAGTCTTCGAATAGCATGACGATGTCCTTTTTTCTTTATCTTTTTTCAGTTGACATGATTCCCTAGAATTCCGTTAATGTATCGAGTTTTTGTTAATTGATTGATGGTTGTAAGAACTGAACCGCTCAATCATCGTCAATGGTGTTGCACTCAGCATGGCTCTTGCATATTCATTCGTCCGTTGTGAACTTGTGACCGGGTGCCACTGTGGCAGACCTGTTGTGGCCAGAATTAAGGGCGGTTGTTGGGCCTAAGCCGATGTCTGAGGGTGTTGGATTGGGATGATAAGTTGCTGTCTGGGATTTTTTTATTTTTATTTTCTTCGCACAAAAAAACAGCCTGAGCTAATGCTAAGGGTGCTGATAGGAGCAGACACCACTACCGTCTCCTGAACATAAGGCATATGCGTTGTAAAAGAATACAATGTATACCCTGCGTTGTATTCGTTTACACTCAGAGCCTTGACAAAAAGGTAAAAGTAAAGTAGCCATGTACCTTTCCATGTTCTCGGTTGAGTTTCGTTCCTCTCCCCCTACTTGGGCCCTTGCTCCACTCCTCAGCAAATGTGCAAAATGCGAATGAATCTTCCACTAGACCGTGGACAAATACAACCGCTTTGGGCCCTTTCTTTTGTCTTGGTGACCACGGTAGTGTAGAGAGACTTTGATGAGTGGCTTTCTTATTTTTCCACTTTCTTGGCTGTGCCAATTTCTTGGCCGCACCACATTCTTGGCTGTCAGAAGCGCCTTCGTGCATGGAGAGAGAGAGAGAGAGAGAGAGAGAGAGAGAGAGAGAGAGAGAGAGAGAGAGAGAGAGAGAGANGAGAGAGAGAGAGAGAGAGAGAGAGAGAGAGAGAGAGAGAGAGAGAGAGAGAGAGAGAGAGAGAGAGAGAGAGAGAGAGCACGCGCAGTGATTGCAGGCCTGCATGGGCCTGTCCCGTTCACCAGGGCAAGAATGGAGCAGGCGTTGACCTTCGGGGGAAAAAAAAAAAGGTTATAATCGAATACAACAATTTTCTCTTCGTGAAATTCAAATATAATGCATGCGCATATTATTCGAATAGAATGAATATGTGTTTTTCGAAGTGCCCTTGTATTCGAATTTCGAAGAAAAAGGTCTAACTTTCCGAAAAGCCTTTTTTTTGGAAAACTCGAATACAACACATATGCGTTATGTTTGGGGGAAGACGTAGCACTCTCGTGCAGGCTCCATAGATTGGTGGGAAGCGACACCTGCCGGAAAGGGGGTCCAGCAATCCTGAACATTGTAATCATTCGTTTGAACAGGTGTGTTTGTAGTATATGCGCCTACATTTAGGGCCTCGCCACACCACTGTCGAAAATGTGATTTTAGATAATTTCTCTTCGCCACATAGGCTGTCGAAAATTGGAACGATACAGAGAAGATTAGCATGGCCCCTGCGCAAGGATGACACGCATAAATAGAGAAATTTGAGACGGGAAGAAAATTCGCAAGTTGTCGGAGAATGCGTCTCCACACCCCCTGTAGAAAGTGGTTGAATCCCCAGCCTGCTACTCGGATGCTTTCTACTTCTCTTTGAAATTTGGTGAGTGGGGGTAAGGTCGGGATGGACTAATGCTTGTCGTACCCTCAGGCCGCTTTCGTCTTTTCCCATCTTGCATTCACAAGTGCATCCACTCTACAGTGCTGCGTGGCTAAAGGGGGGCAAACTGTCGAAAGGAGGCTGTAGAATTTATTCTGACAGCCCTCGAATTGTTTTGCCTTTCGACAGCCATGTGGGGAGGCCCTTACTGATGAGTAGCATTGATTGCCCTCATACAAGGGTATAACTGCTCATTGAAGCTGTAGCATCATCACCCTGCCCTGCTGAACTCTTTTTTTTTTTTTTTTTTTTTTTTTTTTTTTTTTTGCATCTACCGGTACATGGACACATATGCGGACGAGGTGTTGATGTCAATGTTGTTGTTGTTATTGTCGTCGCTGTCATTGTTGATGTCATTGTCCATGAGAGTAACAGAGGCAGTGATTTTTTTCTTTTTTTTTCTTTTTTGGGAAAAGAGGCAGTGATATCGTTGGTGAGGATGTTGCCATTCTCTGAATTAAAATACAATAAGTTCATGGAGCCTTTTTGCTGTCTGCACCTATGCATCATCCCTATTCACTGAAAAGGGGGGGTGTAGGAACGGCCGATTCCTAATGGAAAAAAAAAAGAAAAAGGACGGGTTTCTCTGTGCAAAACTACCCCTTCTTTTTCTGGAGGTTTTAGATGCTATTTCCTTATTTTGAAAAGGGATAACTTGCAATTTGCTTATTTTCAAAAGGGATAACTTGCAAAATACACCCATAAGTTAAAGATATATGCCAAAATGTCCCTAAAAGATGTGGGTGGAGCGGAATGCCCCTCTTACAAAAAAAGAATTTTGTGAAATACCCCTGGTGTCGGTAGGACCCCCATCTTTGCTATATACCCCTACCCCTGGTGTCGGTTGGACCCCCATCTTTGCAATATACCCCTATCGGGTACCATCCACCTTTGCGAAATGCCCCAGTACTTGACAACTTTTCCTAGGCGCTTTTGCAAAAGGCCAAGTCCCAAATGGGAAGGTCCAGATTGCAAAGTTGCACACCCGCCTGACAGAGGCGCAACACAGATTTCGGCCCAAAAGGGCATTCCATTCTACCCACATCTTTCAGGGGCATTTTGGCATATATCTCAACTTATGGGGGTATTTTGCAAATTATCCCTTTTCAAATATCAAACACAAGGAAGAAAAAAACTGACCTGTGAATTGCATCCCCGTCCGCTAGCTCAGTAGGGGCCTTGCTGCACAACTCTCCGAATGTGCAAAACGAGAGTGTATCCTCCCCTGAAAACATGGAAAGATACATTGCCATCTTTTTTGTCTTTTATGCATGTGGATAGTAGTGCAGAGAGCTGAGCAAGGCCCAGGTGTCCTCCCTGAGGGGCACCGCCTAGGTGCTGGGTTCTATTCCTGTTGCCCTCTCTTTCTGCGGCCTGTGCACTGGTGCCTGCACAGCCACGGTCAAACAACCCTCGTAACTCCCTGTGGCGAGTTGTGCCTCCCTGTAACCCCTGGCAATGCCGGAGCATTGGGCCAAGTGGAGGTGGCTAAGTCCTGCTCCAGCAGGCCAGGACACACCCAATACGCATCCCCTCGCCACACCAATGTCGAAAAGGGCATTGTAGACATTTTCTCCTCGCCACACAGCATGTCAAAATCCGAGATGTGAAAAACAATCAGGAGCTGTCAGGGAAAGGGTTTCGACACCTCCTCTCGAGCAAGGCTCTTTTACCAGCCTGCAACTTGGAAATTTTCAACAGTCCTGCGACGGGATGTCGAGTTCTTGTCGGAATGTTGAAAAGGAGAACGGACCTATGCTTGTCCTATCTTGACCCAGTTTGTCTCTTTTGTGCATAGGACTTGTGAGTTCTTCAGTTGGACATACTGTGTGACGACAGTGGGGAAGAGGGTGTTTCAGTTGAAAGAGGGACTGTAGAGAATTTCCTGGGGATAATTTGTAGAAAGCGCCCAGCTAAAACCTTTTTGGTTTTGGCTGCCCAAAGTTCAGCCGTTTGGTACTACCGGCCCAATGTCTTCCATGTGGGGTACTACAGGCCCATGCGTCGCTACAAGGGCCCTACCGGATCATGAATCTGGTATTCATACCACTAAAGGATAGAATGAGGCCCACGTAAGGTATTTTGAAAAAGAAGGGCCCTTAGCTGCCGGTTCATGAATCTGAATGAAAAACAGTGCCGAATTCATGAACCGGTAAATACAACTCAAGGGATCTGTGGCCAGGAGCGAAGGCGGATTTCACCTAGGCTGAAGACATTTGGGCTGGTTGTACCAGACGGCCAAACTTTGGGCTGCCAAAACGGAAAGGTTTTGGTGTGGGCTCTTTCTACCAATTATCCCAATTTCCTGACATATGCCGAATGTAGTGATGTTTCTGCATTGGTGTGGTGAGACCCTAAGAAGAAATCCGGGTTGAGTTGTGAGGTCCCCGGCCTCATCCCATTGGCTTTTTGCAATATAATTTCAACTTTCCAAAAAAAAGAAAAAAGAAAAAAAACTTCACTAATAAAAGGAAAAGAATCAAGGGAATCTAAAAGAAAAGAAATCTAAAGCAAATCTAAAAATAAATTAAAGAAAAATAAATTCAAGAGGGGGAAAAAAAAAAAAAAAAAAAACTTACCTGAAAGACGAAAAGGCTGCCCGTGAAAAGGGGGCACCTGCAGTGTGTGTTCATGCGGCCTATTTTCTAGTCAGAGGTCCAGGGGTAGAAGCAAGGGGTCTCAAATTAGGTACAAGGCATCGAAGACTGCAAGGGGATACATTACAAATCTGACAAGAGCAAATTGACAATGCAGAAAAACAGATTTACTGACAAAGTTTGATTGGGTTCAGAGAGTACTGACCAATGATATTTACAAACAACACTGAAAAATCTTCAAGGAAAGTGGAGAAGTCCTGGGGGTACCCCCCCATGCACCGAGGGCACGGGCGGGCGGGCCAGGATTTTCGCGCGCTGAGTCGCGAACCGTTGATGGAGATAATCCAGTGATGCGTAGCAGGTACGTCGAAAGGAGCGGCGTCGCAGTCGCGATCGAGGGAAGAGCAAAGGACAAAAGAAGCACAGATTCCTACGGGGCGATTTCTCTAGAAATAGCAAAACCTCGTGAACCTCTGGAATGGCCCACCAATGACGCGCAATTTCCAGATTGTCCTTCCCTGCTTGAATTGGCCAAATGTTGGCCACCCCTAATCGGGGTTCGGTCCAATTCGACCCCTGCGGATGAAGAGGCCTTAGGAGGCCTTGAAATTCTTAAAGAGCCCGTCCTTGAGAAAAAGGTCCCTTCCTGGCTGCCGAACTCTTCTGAACTTCTTGCTGGTGCACCTGGGCCTCAAAAGCATCCTGATGCGGACGCATTGATTACAAAACTGACCGATCTGGCATCCTACCCTGAGTAAGTGACAAAAACTAGACCCCTGCC